ACTCCTTCTATTCCCAGAGGAGTTATAGGTCTATTTAAATTGTTTATCTGGTCTAGATTTAATTTGAATATGTGGTACCTATCCAGAAAATTGTCCATTTCTTTTAGATTTTCCAGTTTTGTGGAGTACAGGTTTTTAAAATATGACCTGATGATTCTCTCTATTTCCTCATTGTCAGTTGTTATATCTCCTTTTTTGTTTTTGATTTTATTAATTTGGGTATTCTCTCTCTGCCTTTTGGTTAGTTTGGATAAGGGTTTGTCTACCTTGTTGATTTTCTCAAAGAACCAACTCTTTGTGTCATTGATTCTTTGTACTGTTCTCTTTGTTCTATTTAATGATTTCAGCCCTCAATTTGATTATTTCCTGGCATTTACTCCTCCTGGGTGAGTTTGCTTCTTTTTGTTCTAGAGCTTTCAGGTGTGCTGTTAAGTTACTACTGTGAGATTTCTCCAACTTCTTTAGTAGGCATTTAGAGCTATGATCTTTCCTTAGTACTGCTTTCATAGTATCCCATAAGTTTGGGCATGTTGTAAATTCATTTTCATTGAATTCTAGGAAGTCTACAGTTTCTTTCTTTATTTCTTCCTTGACCCATTGGTGATTCAGTTGAGCATTATTCAGTTTCCATGAGTTTGTAGGCTTTCTGTAATTTGTGTTGTTGAATTCTAACTTTAAGTCATGGTGGTCTGATAAAATACAGAAGGTTATTCCATTTTTTTGGTATCTGTTGAGATTTGCTTTGTGACTGAGTATGTGGTTGATTTTAGAGAAAGTTCCATGGGGTGCTGAGAAGAAGGTATATTCCTTTGTGTTAGGGTGGAATGTTCTGTGGATATCTATTAAATCCATTTGAGTCATAATGTCTGTTTGTTCCCTTATTTCTCTGTTAAGTTTCTGTCTGGCAGACCTGTCCATTGGTGAGATTGGGATGTTGAAGTCTCCCACTATTAGTGTGTGGGTTTTAATATTTGATTTAAGCTTTAGTAATGTTTCTTTTACATATGTGGGTGCCCTTGTATTTGGGGCATAAATGTTCAGAATTGAGACTTCATCTTGATGGATTTTTCCTGTGATGAATATGTAAATTCTTCTCGATCTCTTTTGATTAATTTTAGTTTGAAGTCTATTTTGTTAGATATTAGGATAGCTACACCAGCTTGCTTCTTAAGTCCATTTGATTGGAAAGTCTTTTCCTAGCCCTTTACTCTGAGTTAGTATCTGTCTTTGAAGGTGTATTTCTTGTATGCAGCAGGATCGATCCTGTTTTCATATCCATTCTGTTAGCCTGTATCTTTTTATAGGCAAATTGAGTCCATTGATATTAATGGATATTAATAACCAGTGATTGTTAATTCCTCTTATTTTTTTGGTGGTAGTGCTGTGTGTTTCCCTTCTTAGGATTTGTTGGTGTGGGATTATCTATTGCCTGTGTTTTCATGGGTGCATCTAACTTCCTTAGGTTGGATTTTTCCTTCTAGTGCTTTCTGTAGGGCTGGATTTGTGGATAAGTATTGTTTAAATCTGGTTTTATCAGGAATATCATGTTTACCGCATCTATAGTTATTGAGAGTTTTGCTGCATATAGTAGTTTGGGCTGACATCCATGGCCTCTTAGTGTCTGCATAACATCTGTCCAGGACCTTCTGGCTTTCATTGTCTCCATTGAGAAGCCGGGTGCCTTTATATGTTACTTGGCTTTTTCTTTTGCAGCTCTTAATATTTTTTCTTTATTCTGTATGTTTAATGGTATGATTATTATTTGGTGAGGGGGCTTTTTTTTGGGGGGGGGTCTAGTCTATTTGTTGTTCTGTAAGCTTCTTGTATCTTCACTCTTTTTGGAGAAATGACACCCCACACAATTAATACTTATTTCTTGTAATACTCCTAGTGTGGTCTTAGAGGATTTGGACATAATGGAGAATATCCTTAAGTTCTGTTTTGAAAGGATGTCATACAAGTTACTCAGGTTGGTCCTACTAGCTTGATTGCATATAAGACTCAAAGTAGTAGATGATGATTCTCAATTTTTATTTTCTTTAATTTGAAAGACAGATAACTGTTGGAATCTTTGTGGAGTTCTACCAGAACTTCCCTAGATAAAATTCCTGACACATTTCTAGATGCAAAATAAAGGGTTTAGTTGAGACACAAGTCTGATCAGTGTTTTTTGTTTATCAGAGCCTCATAGATTTTATTGCCTATGGCTCTCTTCATAGAAGTTCTAAATTATTTTGTGGATAACATTGTTACAAAAATTCCATGCACAATTTTTAAATTATAGTGTTTTTTATCTCTGAGGGGATGGAGTTGGGGGAGCAGAAAGGTAATTTGGTTCTTGATCACAGCTATTTTCCAAACGGGCTATTTTAAGCATTGGACTGCCAATGATGAATGACTTCAGTTAATATTACATTCTTCATTAGAGTTGACAATATCTGTTTATGGAACAGGGTATGAAAATCTAGAGAGAAATAATCAGAATAAAGGATCAAATATTTATTTGGGATATACCTACTGTTCTAATCTTTATTGCTTTATTCATTAATAAGATTAATAAAAATATAAACTTCTTCAAGAAGGTAAAATTGATATTAGTAAAAATTATTAAAAGGTTGGAAAACTGATAAGATGGTAAATAATTGCTGATGAGTTAGTAAATAAAGCTAACATATAATAAAAATAACTAGCTTCTGAAACCATGAGAAACAGCAAGATTTTATCCAAGCAGTGAGAGATACATTGGAGTTCTCTGTGAACCTCGTAATGTTCCTTAAATGCAGATGATATGTAACATATCTCTAAAATTCTCCAGAATCTCAATTTGCCCTCAGGGGATCAGAATGAGCATTAACAACCATGATAAAATTAGGCCAGATGAACATATGCAGCATTTCTGTTGTTTTTCCCCAGAGCACCAAGCATGAAGAGCCAAGGCCCAAGCCAGCTGTATCATTATACTCCTTTTAAAAATAAGTTACTTGCATAATTGAATTTGAAATTTGTTTTATTCCAGACCATAATGCTTTAATAAATAATGAATATGTGAATGGGTGATTTTTTAGTGGCATTAGTAATGAACTATCAACCTAAGAGGACACATTAATGAAAGCTTGCCCTACTAAGAAATTACACAATTTTTGTTGAACTTAAACCTTGTGTTTTTGTTTTTGTCTTTTTGCTTAATACATTAAATCCAATGATTTTATCATGTTTTTAAATTATTTGAACTATGAAATAAGAGCTATACTTACAATCTAAGTCAGCGTTACTTGAAACTTGTGGGATGGGGTTCTACGTCTTCAGTGGGAGAATTTTCTACTTGACATTGATAAGACTGGGAGAATTTGTAGAACTCTTTCCCCAATACCTGTGAAAAAACTGAGGATGGACAAAGGCCTAATCATGAGTTTACAATAATAATTGAATTACAAATTTGCTTTTGGCCTGTAGTGAGTGACAGGGGTGTGAGACAGAAGAGATTCATAACCCTCCTCTGTGTTTTAATATCCAAGAAAGGCCTTCACTGTCAGGAATAAGTACATCTATTCAAAAGCAAGGTCTTGACCAAACTTATTCTAAAACATTTTCTGTATACACTACAAAACCAACATGAATTAACAAGAACTGAAATGCCCACGGATAATTGTTGGCTACTTAAGATTTTAAAATATACAGTTAAATATGTTGCATCTGCAAGATAGCAGGGGGTCAAAGTGTTTCCTTAACAAGCCTGATGACTCAATTTTGATAATCCCTGAATCCATGGTAAAAGAAAAGAGTCAACTCCTGAAAATTGTCCTCTCTCTCTCTCTCTCTCTCTCTCTCTCTCTCTCTCTCTCTCTCTCTCTCTCACACACACACACACACACACACACACACACACAGTATAAATAAAATAAAGTTAAAAGTTAAAAAATATGCCAGGTAACTTTTATTTTATGTTTACATAACTTTCTCAGTCTTTCAGAACTCCAACCCCAAAATCTAAGTGTAAACATTTATGATATATCTGTGAGAACATTCTACATATATTTTATGAATATTATATTTGTTTTTGTTTTGATATTGCTCATTATGTAGGATGTTCTAAACATTCACTATTTTTTATAGTGTCTCAAAAATAGATATGTTTATAAAACTATAAGTATGTAAATAATTTAACTGTATATGAATAGTTGTATTTTTCACAGGAGGTAAATATTTTTTATATAGGATACTGTATATTGAACATAGGGTCTCACACATGCTAGGTGAGTAGTCTACTGCTAAACTTTATCCCCAGCCTTGTTTCTTATGCTCTTAGAGTTTAACAGCTCAATTATTTGGAAAAATTAACAGATAATGGGAGACTGGTCAAGATCACAGAAGAGCTGATTTGAGTTCATTAGGCACTCAGTGCTGTAGTAGTACCTGCTTCCTGCTTGTTCTTATGCACAGGAGTAGGAATGGCACTGCAGGGAAGCTCACCCTCCACCAGTGCTGCATGATGGAAGAATTGCTATACAATATTTGGTGTGGATTGATAGTATGTTTTGTGGCGAAACTCACAGAGATGGAAATTACCAATGGGACAGGAGAAGCTTTGGTGATTACTTGATGCACCTTACATTTAGATCATCTTGACAAATGTAAAAAGTACAAACACAACAAACCGCTTATATAAGTATTTGGGTGTGTTTTGAATTAAATGCACATCAGATATCATATAAATTATATGTGTGGGCTTATAATCATTAATTAGCAGCTGAAAAATGGTTTCTCCTTGAGTGAATTGCTGTAGTGAGTACTGTACACTTTATATAAGGAAATTACATATTAATGAAATATAACAGTGCTATAAATGCTTTAAAACACACAACATATATATGTGTGTGTGTGATTCTTAAAGAAATTAAAGCATATATACAATGTATTTTCTCCTAAATTTTCATTGTATTTATGAAGAAATAAAGACATAGTGTGCACTGAATACTTTACATTTGAATTTTTTTTCTCAGTGTGACTGCAAGTCAACACTTCGAGTACCTTAAGCCCTTTGCTTTGAAGTGGATATGGGATTACTGGAGCAGGCAGATCACAGCTCTAAGATCCTTCTTTTCTGATAACTTGAGCTTCAGCTGAGGAACAAAGGCCGGCAGAATAGAATGCCCTTCCTCACTGCATTTTGACCCCCAGTTGCATGGCTAAAGTAACAGGTTTGTCTGCTACCCCTGTAATTAAGCCAACAACACTGTACAACCAGTCATCTCATTGAATCTACCTTTCTCTGTGTTTTAGGACACTACCCCATTAGCATGCCTTCTTACCAAGTTTTCTGTCCTGGGAAACAGTCCTTTGGAAAATTAGAACAGAGCGTGAGTCGTTTCTGTTAAAATCCCAGTGATCTCTTGCACAAGCTGAGACCTCATCTAGAGAGATAAGCCAGTGTAAATTTTGCCTTAGGGGATATTGCAGGGCTATGCAAACACATGGAGTTGAATATCACAGTTCCCCTCAGTGCTACACATCAGCATATTATCTAATTTCCAAATGAGACGACTTTCTTGGCAGGTACTGTATGTAGCTCATCTGTTAGAATAAATGTTAACTGAACTGGAAATATGCTGAACGATTTTGGTTTAAGAGACACGGGTAAATGTATTAAGCACAACTGTGTTAGGCATTCTTAAGGTTCAGGACTGTCTTCTGAAGGCTGTCTTTTTTTTTCATTGTTCTCCACCAGCAGGATTTTGAACCCTCTTAAGAACCACTTGGATTATTGGGAAACTAGAGTCCATTTGGAGGCCGGCAGTTTACGGTAGTGGTTCTTCTCACATTAGTCTGAACTGAGATGCCCATAAGAGAGCAAGGTAAGGAACACATAGCTGTGCAGCACTGTGGTGCCAAACTTCCTGTGTCCTGCTGGAGAAGGGATGCCTGAATGCCAGAACCTCACTCCCTCGCCTCTATTGAGGTGAAATAGTTATATTATTTACAAACTGAATGCTTCTTTAGTTAAAACTTGTTTTGATAGCACCACAATCAGTTTGTGGACTATAAACAGTAAATAATTTTGGTCAATTAAAATTTAAAACTTTTTTTTTTTAATTTTTAAAAACCTAAAAAAACTTAGCGTATGGGTGTCCTTCTGGAATTTTCATACATATTTGTTGCTGCTGCTCCTTTTCCTCCCTAGCTGCCTGCCTCCTCCCGGGGTTCTCTTCCAGTAGCTCCCTTGCCTTTCCTGTCACATGACTTTTCCCCACTCTCTCTATTGGCTTTCACCATCTCTTTCTCTCGCTCTCATTCTTGTCTCTCCACCGAGATATCTTTTTACTCTTTTCTGGTTCCATTATAAATCTTATGATTTATAGCCCCTCATATATATAAGTTCACATACACAAAGATTAAAATCTAGGATCTGCATGTGAGAGGAAATAAGCAGTCTTTCTTCTTCTGTGTCTGGCTTATTTTTTCTAACATAATTCTGGTTTCACTCCCTTTCCTGCCAATGCCATTATTTCAATTTTCTTTATAGCTGAATAAAATTGTGTCTGTGTACCGCCTCTTCTATATCCATTTATCTGTTGATGGACGTCTGGTTGGTTCCATTTCCTCCCTACTGTAAATAGAACAGCCGTGAGCATGGCTCTGCAAGCAGTCCCAACAGTGGTGTAGCCGGGCCATGTGGTAGTCACATGGTAGTTTTGTGAGAAATCTACATTTGATTTCCATGGTTGCTGTACCCGGTTACCCTCCATCCCCCACTCCATTCCCCATAGTGAATAAAGGGTCTTCTTCCCCCACAGGCTCACTAGCATTTCTTATCATGTGTTTTCTAGATGGTAGCCATTCTGACTGGAATGAGTGGAATCTCAAAGTACTTTCAATCTGTATTTCCCTGTTGGCTAAGGATATTGAAGACTTCTTTTTTTAAATAGCAAAAAGTAAATACTCTTAGCAAAACAAATAAGCAATGATAATATCAACACATGAAAATTTATTGATATTTCAGCTGTGGATAAAACTTGCATTAAGTACATAAGTCCTGAAAGAACGGATAAAGCATGAATTACACAACTTATGAGCACTTACTATGGAAAGCTAGCTAGGTTATAAATTTTAAAATTGCTAACAATTCAAATTTAAATGTGAAAGCATGCTATAATTTAGAAAGATGGTACAGAAAAATTTAAATGTGAAACCACCCCTCCAGATCATCCACTTTCTTGGCTGGAGAGAAAATAGCACTTTCTTATGTCCTGATTCATCAAAGCTAAGTTTTTAGATATTTTAGTGATTGGATAGTGGCCATCCATTTCCTAAGGTTTCTCTGTAAGCTGCTTGTCACACACTTCTGTAAGTGGGAGTTTGGGAACTTTAAATGAAAGTGTGTAAAGTTTTCTTTGCCGAGTGTTATTAACTAAGGGACTCTGGATTAATTTAGCATCCAGGTCTGTTCTTCCAGCCATAAGCCATGCTGTCAGGGAAACTTAATTACACTTTAAGTGGGATGCAAATGAGTTGTGACACTACATCATTTCACGTGAAAGGTTCATTACTTACATTAACTCGCACAACGCTTGCTCCTGAGTCTAGACCTCATTACAGTATTCTTGGGATTATTTTTTTAAAAACATATTTAATGCAAGTAGGGTTTTAACTTTTAATAGCCTGTTTCTTTCTTAATGTCGTTTAAGACTACAAATGTTCACTTTATTAAATGATTATGAGTTGAACTTCTGGTACATGAATGTATTAAAGCTGCAAGAGAAAAATCCTAAGTTCTAGCACATGTTGGCTCCATTGCATGTTTCAGGACCAGATTCTCCTTTAAAGCTGTACTTGGTGAATTCCTTCCTTAGCATTCCTATACATGATTTGAGACAGAAAATTAACAAACCTTAAAATCAGAAGGATAACATCTTTATTCCAAGACTTAAATGGATTTTTATGAGCATAATTTAGGTGAAGAAGTATGTAAATTAAATCAAATAACTTGTTTCATATTGATAGATTGAAACCTTGAGTGACAGAGATAAATCAATTGTGACTATCTGACAAAGTGTTAGAATAGGTATACAAAATATGTTTGTTCCCTCTTTGAAAAAAATAGGTAAATGGTTCTGGAGGGAGAATTCACTTTAGATTTATGTCTCTATTCTCTGATGTGGTGATTAAAGTGTTTTAGAAGAAATTAGTTGTTTCTTCTTAACATAATCAGCCACAATAATCAATCAAGTTTTTGACAGTTATTCTCAATTATATACATGTAGGAAAAATGATAATGAATATTTATTGAGCACTTATTATGCTCATGGTAAAGCCATTAAGTGCTTTGCTTATACAAGCTCACGTCATACACACACACACACACACACACACACACACACACACACACACACACACACATACACACACACACACACACACACGATATAAGTACTCAATCCTTGTATTATGCATGTTGAAATTCAGAGAGGGCTTATGGAAGTTGTCCAAAGCTGCATCACATGTGTGAGAGACAGAGTTCAGTCACATACACACACACACACACACACACACACACACACACACACACACACACACTCACATTGTGCTTGGATTCAAATCTACTCTTCATTGTATGCCCTTTGCTGATAGAGCTGGATCCTGTAGGCATTTCTTTTACTAGCATGCACAATGCTGAGCTGTATCAACCAGGGGCACCGGACAGACAGTGTAAAGGGAATAGCTTCGTTTCTGAGGCTTCTGGTCTCCTCTCTGTTTATACTGCATGGTTTCCAGTAACATATGAAGTGGAGACATCCTGTTGTACTCCACCTTACCAGTGCTTGATAAGGTTGTCTTCCTGGCCCTGACTTAGTGGCATCTCATTGCCAGTCTGAACAAGATGAATTCTGACTGATAAGCAAAGAAGCATGTAGGTGAAGTCAGTGGAGAGTATTAACATATAAGATGTAGATGAGATCTTGGCAGATAACTAATTCTTCATTTTGTTTTGCAGGAATCCTGAGAAGTTTATTCTGTGTTGCTAAACTTTTGTTTTTATTATGTCTTTGAGGATCTTACATGCTGTATTTGGTCACTTTCATTCCTCTCATTTTCTCCCAGACACACCCACATACCCTACCCACCCAACTTTGTGACCTCATTTTTTATTAATAAAATTTATTTTTATTTATGGGTTTTTCACATCATGTATCTTGATCCCATTCATTCCCTAACCCTTTGCATCTGCCCTCCACCCCTGCACTTCCCCAATCAAGCAAAACTCAAGAGAAAACAATGAAGAAAATAAAATGAGAAAAAAAATTTAAAAAGGAAAGAATTAAAAATCTCATCATGGAAGCTGCAGTGTGACCCAACAAGTCACACCGTATACTCCTTGGTCCATACATCTCTACTTGCAAGTGTTCATTGCAAAGAGTCATTGGTCTGGTTAGAGGCTTCTGGTTTCCATTACATGTTCAATGCTGGGCCCCCAGTAAGACTCTTCCTGGACATCCTACTGGTGCCCTGTATTGTGGAGATCCCGTGCTTTGGGTCTATGGGTCAGGTCCCTTCACATGCTCCAGCAGATCATAGATGGGGTGGATGTTGGGGCAGGCCAAATCATAACACTGGGGCTGGGCCTGGACAGATGGGGAATGGGGACAGCTGTCCCATGCTCATGATTTTGAGGGTGGCTCACCCACACCTCTGATAACAGGGTTGGATCTGTTGTGCTTCCCTGGCAGGGTGCATGGCCTGTTTTTCTAAGTGTTGCAGGTGGTGGAGATTGGGGACAGCTCTCCCACTCTTATGACCACAGGCCCAGCCCTCCCACCTCCCCTAGGCATTGATGGGTGAGAGGGGGCTTCTTTCCTCTGCCCATGTTGCCACAAGGCAGATGAGAAATGAGGTAGCTCTCCCATGCTCACATCTTCAGGCCTGGCTCACCCATCCCTGAGCTAACAGGATTGGCTCTATTTTGCTGCCCTGGCGAGGTTTGAGGCCTGCTCTTCTGAGTATTGCAGTTAGTGAGGGTCAGGGATAGTTCTTCCACTCTTATGACCACAGGGCCATTTCTCCCACCTGCCCCAGGCATTGATGGGTGTGGGGGTAGGGGAATGTTAGGGCATCTTTTCCCTACCCACTATGCCACAAGACAGATGAGAAATTGGGGCCTGCTCTCCCATGCTCATTATTTTGGGGCTGTATTGGTGAAATTATTAAGGCCACTCCACGTAGTTAAAAGATTTATTTAATGGCATAACTTACAAATTAAGGGATAGGTAGGTCGCGGGGTCTGGGGAAGGTGTATCGCAGTCCAGCGGTGTTCTCTGGAGCTCTGCTTGGCCCACCTCCACCGTCCAGGGTCCTGGAACAGAGAGTGCTGGCCCATCCAGATCTCGGGTCTCCAGGCGCCTCCCTTGGCCCTGCCTTGTAGGTGTGACAGTTGCTGAAGTCTCAATGGGGGTTGGAACTTCCAGATCAAAGCTGGAATGGCTACCCACTACAGGGCTGGCTTACTCACACCAGGCAGCACAATAGAGCAACCTGTTAGCTGAGGTGTGGGTGAACCAGCCCTGAAATTGTGAGTATGGGAGAGCTGCTCCCATTTCTCATTTGTCTTGTAGCACAGGTAGGGGAAAGAAGCCCCCACCCCCCACATCAATGTTTGGGGCAGGTGAAGAGCTGGCCTTGGGGTTTTAAGAGCAAGAGAGCTGATCCTGATCCCCACCAGCTGCAACACTCAGGAGAGCAGGCCCTGCACCCAGACAAAGTGGCACAATAGAGCCAACCCTGTGACTTCATTTTTTATGTGACAATGAGTACTTTCTTAGTCTTCTCTTTAAGAGCTTGTATTTGAAATAATGACACCATCTGTGTTTATTTAAAACTATCACTGTGTATTGCACATTTTATTTTGAAATTCTGTGTGTATTTATTGACTTGTTAAATTCTAAAAGT